TCCGCCGCTGCCCTATGGTGGATATTATCCACCACCGATGGCCGTGTCGCACCCTGGAGCTTCTGCACCGTCCTCGACGCCGGGCCTTGGTGCATCTGCTGGATCATCCCACCTGGCCTACTACACGTCGCCTCCCGTGGCTGATCATGCCACGGCCGTTGCACCGTTCTACTTCGCGCATCTCATTCCGGTGAAGCTTACGACAGATAACTATCTGTCATGGCGTGCAGAGGTGCTGCCGCTTCTCCGCAGTCGCTACCTGGAGGGCTATGTTGACGGTTCCCTGCCATGTCCTCCACCGCATCATCCGGCGTATCATGCATGGGTTGCTCAGGATCGGGCCATCCTCTCCGCGATCCAGTCGTCGCTCACCGAGGGGGTGTCCTCCTTGGTTCTCTTCGCTGCCACGTCTCAGGAGGCGTGGTCTGCTCTTCACACGAGCTTCGCATCTCAGCAGCATGCGCGCGCTCACACTATTCGTACGGAGCTGGGGGAGACCAAGCTCCTTGACCTCAGCATCACCGACTACTTTGGCAAGATGACGCGTCTCGCCGATACCTTGGCCTCCATTGGCCAGCCGCTTCGTAAGGAGGACTTCACCACCTTCGTCATGAACGGACTGCATGACGACTATGATAACCTTGCTGAAAATATCAATGGTCGTGACACTCCGCTTGAACCTCGTGAGCTCTACGCCCGCCTCCTAGCCACGGAACAGCGCATCAAGTCCCGTCGTGCTAACCCGAGTTTTCTTGCTGCCAATGCTGCCACGCGTGGCAAAGGGAAGCCCTTCAAATCACCCACCGGCGGCAAGTCAGTGCCTTCGACTCCACAGACTCAGCGGCCGCCTGCCACCGCTGCCATGCCTACGACCGGGGGTGGTCGGTGTGCCTGCTGCCCCTCTTGTGGTGTTCAGCTCCCCTGTCAGCTGTGCAATATTCCAGGTCACATCGCCTCCCGCTGTCATCGCCGCTTCAAGCAGGACTTCCTCGGCATCGGCAACAATGGCAAAGGCAACGAGAAGCAGGCTGCCTTGGCCACTCATGAGCCTGCTCGCCAAGCAGGCCACACTCCATCATATCCCATCGACCCAACTTGGTACATGGATACAGGCGCTACGAATCATTTGACAGGCGAGATGGGCAAACTCTCCATGCAGGAACCGTACCGTGGACATGATCAGATTCACACCGCCAATGGAGCAGGTATGCACATATCACATGTTGGTCAGGCCTCTCTCTTAACTTGCACACAAAAATCTCTTCATCTCCGTAATGTTCTTAGAGTTCCTTCCGCTACTCGTAGCTTATTGTCTGTTCCTCAACTTACTCGTGATAACAATGTTTTCACTGAGTTTCATCCTTTTCATTTTTTTATCAAGGATCGGGCCACGAGGGACGTTCTGCTTAGAGGTCGCCTGCGTGATGGACTTTATGCACTTGATCTACCATCTGCTCCTCGAGCGTTCAGCGGTGTCCGTATTTCGCCCACTCATTGGCATGCACGGCTTGGTCATCCTGCAACTCCCATAGTTCGTAGTATTTTACATCGCCATAATCTCCCCATTGTGTCCAATAAAAATGCTGCCACAGTCTGTGATGCCTGTCAGCAAGGCAAGAGTCATCAGCTTTCGTTTTTAGATTCGAGTCGTGTCGTTAAAACTCCACTTGAGCTTATTTTTTCTGATGTATGGGGGCATGCCCAAACTTCTGTGAGTGGTCATAATTATTATGTCAGTTTTATTGATGCTTATAGTCGATTCACATGGCTTTACCTTATCAAGCGTAAATCTGATGTGTTTGATGTGTTTCTCCAATTTCAAGCTCACGTTGAGCGTCTTCTCAAGCATAAGATTATCCATGTCCAGACCGATTGGGGGGGGGGGTGAGTATCACAACCTCAATTCCTTTTTTAATAAGCTTGGAATTTCACATCGCGTGTCTTGTCCTCATACACATCAGCAGAATGGCACGGCTGAACGTAAGCATCGTCACATTGTTGAAACTGGTCTCATTTTACTTGCCCATGCATCGGTACCCTTTAGGTTTTGGAGTGATGCATTTTCCACTGCCTGTTTTCTCATAAATAGGCTTCCCACACGACTCCTTGGAATGAAAACACCGCTTGAACTGCTGCTTAATGAGTCTCCAGATAATACCTCTCTCAAAGTTTTTGGTTGTGCTTGCTGGCCTCATCTTCGTCCATATAATAAGCGCAAGCTTGAGTTTCGATCCAAACTTTGTGTTTTTCTTGGGTATAGCTCTCTTCATAAAGGGTACAAGTGTCTCCACATTCCGTCTAATCGTGTCTACATCTCGCGTGATGTTGTGTTTGATGAGAATGTATTCCCGTTCTCGTCTTTCTCCATAACTCCTGCACCTCCGGTTCCATCTTCATCTACCACTTCTCCCCTGCCTGCTCAATTTGTTGATGTTGCATACTCTCCTGCGTTGTTGCCTAATCATGCTGCAGGTACAGGTCGTGGAGCTCGTCTTGAGTTACTGGATGAACAGGAGGAGCCGTCGGGTGCACCTGGCTTGGTGCCTGGTGCCATGCATGCGCCATGCATGCCTCCCGCGCGACCGGGGTCGGCAGCCCCGGCCTCACCCGCACGACCGGAGTCGGCTGCCGCACCAGCTCTTCCCAGGCTGGATTCGCCTGGGCCTCAAGGTGTCGCCCCCGACTCTCCTGGGCTGGCCTCAAATGGGCCGGCCATGGATGGCGTGGAGTAGCCGGCCTCCCCTGGGGCGGAGTCGCCTGGGCTGGTCTCCCCTGGACCAGCCTCGCCTGGGCCGGGATCGCCTGGGCTGGTGTCGCCCGCCTCGATGCCGTCGTCTGGCCCTGCCTCGTCACTGCCTTCGTCGCCTGATGCCTCGCCGGTCTCTCTGGTTCCGTCACGACCGGCTGCTGCTGCTCAGAGGCCACACACGCGCAGCAGGTCTGGCATTTTCTGTCCCAAGCAACGGAAAGATGGGACGGTGGCGTGGCTTGCAGCATGTGTTGCTCATCTCAAGGAAGATCCTTCAGCTGAACCGCGTCATTTTCAGGCTGCCCTTGGGATCCCTCATTGGCGACAGGCTATGGAACAAGAGTTTCAAGCGTTATTGACAAATGGTACATGGCAACTTGTTCCTCCGGTCTCTGGTGTTAATGTCATTGACTCCAAGTGGGTCTTCAAAGTTAAAAGGCATGCTGATGGTTCTATTGAACGCTATAAGGCACGGTTAGTGGCGAAAGGGTTCAAACAACGGTATGGTCTTGACTATGAGGATACATATAGTCGGTGATCAAACCAACGACTATCCGACTTCTGTTATCCTTGGCTGTTACTCGAGGCTGGTTTCTTCGTCAGCTGGACGTTCAGAATGCTTTTTTGCATGGAGTTCTGGATGAGGAGGTTTACATGCGTCAGCCATCAGGATTTGTGGATTCTGCTCGCCCTCATCATCTGTGCCGTCTGGTCAAGGCGCTCTATGGGTTGAAGCAGGCTCCTCGTGCCTGGCATGCCAGGTTGGGCTCTGTTCTTCGATCCCTGGGTTTTGTTCCTTCCACTGCTGATACGTCACTCTTTCTTCTGCATCGGCCTGAGGTGACGATGTATCTGCTGGTGTATGTTGATGATATTATTCTCATCAGCTCATCAGATGCTGCTGCTGATCGTCTCATCTCCTCCTTGAGTGGTGATTTTGCGGTGAAGGATTTAGGCACGTTGCATTACTTCCTTGGCTTGGAAGTCTCTCGTTCTCCTGCTGGTTTGACACTCACTCAACATAAGTACTCCATGGATTTGCTGCGCAAGGCAGGTATGCTACAGTGTAAACATGCCATGACTCCTATGTCTGCTACTGATCGTTTGTCTGCATTTGATGGAGATCCTCTCACTTCGGATGACTCTACTGAGTATCGCAGTATTGTTGGTGGTCTGCAGTATCTGACCATCACTCGGCCTGACATCTCCTATGCAGTCAATCGTGTTTGTCAGTTTCTTCATGCTCCTCGGACTACTCACTGGTCAGCGGTGAAGCGTATTCTTCGTTATATACGCCTCACTGCAGCATATGGTCTGCTCCTTCAGCCAGCACCGTCTCCTACGCTTTCTGCTTTTTCAGATGCTGACTGGGCTGGTAATCCAGATGACAGGCGATCAACGGGGGGACATGCTGTCTTCTTTGGTCCTAACTTGATCGCCTGGGCTGCTCGCAAACAAGCTACAGTGTCCAGGAGCAGCACTGAAGCAGAATATAAAGCTGTTGCAAATGCTACAGCTGAGATCATATGGGTACAGTCCTTATTGAGAGAGTTGGGAGTTCCTCAAACTCAGCCGCCTGTCCTTTGGTGTGATAACATTGGAGCTACATATCTCTCATCTAATTCAGTGTTTCATGCTCGGACAAAGCACATAGGAGTTGACTATCATTTTGTACGGGAACGTGTTGCACAGAAGCTACTCCACATCAAGTTCATCTCCTCCAAAGATCAACTTGCTGATATCTTCACGAAGCCTCTTCCACAACCTCAGTTTGTAGGCCGCAGGCGCAATCTTAACATACTTTGTACTTCAGGGCATAGTTAAGATTGAGGGAGGGTGTTAGACTGTATTTACATATAGCTTCTGTATATGTCTTGTATATTGTATCGTACACCTTGGTGTACCCCTTATATATATGAGATAGCCACACCCTTAACGGGTGTCGTGCAGTTTCCCAAAACCTTGTGTTTAACAACAGAAAAGTTTCCAATGAACGCACCATCGGTAACACAAAGGGACGAACAACAGGTGTGCATCACATTCCAAACTTGTTCCTCGGGAACAGGAGTCTCACAACCACAACAAAAACACAGATAAGAGGGGATATCTCTGCAGCAGAAGTAACACATTCCACGAAATCCATTACATGTCATATACAACTACGAGATTGGACTGCACAGCCTTTATTACAACATTATACTGAAAGCTTCAGGCGATGCACCAATGCATCTAGTTGATGCAGCAACAAGGTTTAAGAACTCGCGAGCAGCTTCTTGATGTCCTTCTGCAAAGATCCAAGGAGTAAGCGCCACAAGATCAGGAAAGGAAGTTTGATCATCAAATGGAGCACATAATGCACTGTCGGTACTTACCTCGATGCTGAGGGGGGAGGTGGTTGGCGCGTAGCGATCCACAACATGCCCCTCCTTGTCAACCAAGAACTTGGAGAAGTTCCATTTGATGTTGTCCCCGAAGAGACTGCCTTTTCTGGACTTCAGAAACTTGTAGACAGGTGCAACATTGTCACCATTGACATCAACCTGACAGATAGTGGAAGTCAAGTTAGTACACCTAGCTGCTTGCCTCTCTGATACATAACTGTAGTATGTGAAGAAAAATCAAGCGACAAAACTAGGATAGTTGCTATTTTCAGAAAGAAAGGAAAGTCAGTTGCTAGTTGCTACAACTGAAGTCTGAATGTCTGATAACCAACAGCGATTTCAGAGTCTATACCACACAGACTGCATACAAACTAGAGAACAGATGTTGGACTAGCTTTCCTCGATCAAAAGATAATGACTGTTCATGGACGCAAGTCATAATGTACACTTGTACACTAAAGCAATCGTTATTTCAGCCTGAAACAGAGACACAAAAAGGAAAAGAAAGAAAGAAGTATTAAGCACACATTTACCTTGTCAAAAATTGGATACTCGGCCTTAAAGCGAGTGCAAGCAAACTGAACAATTTCCTCATTAGTGCCGGGTTCCTGCCCACCAAACTGGTTGCATGGGAAAGCAAGGATCTCAAAACCTGTGGTCACATCAAATTGTTAGCATAATAGATCATAACTGAAAATCAGGGACTAAACCATGTGCACATATATCATACCCTGGTCCTTGTACTTCTCGTACAATTGAGCGAGTTCCGTGTACAATTGAGCGAGTTCCGTGCACATGGGGATTTAAATAAAACTCGAACACGAGTCAGAAGTCAACGTCATGACACTTAATATGCACACACAAAAACAGGTTGTCCAACTCCAAAACCAACTTGATCAGGGTAATTTTCTCCATGTCTAGACAACTCGGATGTTAATCACAAATGCTGGTCCCAATAAACCACAAACTAGTCTGATGACTATGCATATTTAGCAGAACAATATTTTAAACTTGAAGTTGTATAATATACACACTATACTCAACTTTGCAGATGGCAATCCAAACTTGACAGTATAATATACACACCATACATATTTATACACCAGAACGTGAATAAGAGAATTACATCACGATTTCTAAATAATTTCACAAGACATGAAAAAATTGAACATAAAAGATAAAGAGCAGAATGCGAGGGAGCAGTAATAATAGTTCATACCACTGGGATGCAACATTGACAATGAGGAGAACCTTCCCCTTGTAGGTGCTCAGGTCGACATCTTTTCCACTCGCATCCTGCAGGCACAAAATGAAGCGTTCCTTTAGTGCTATCAAAATTCGCGCAGAAAAACAGAGTCAACTAAACTATTGTTTGTTTGTTTTTTTAGGGGGTCAACTAAACTATTGGTTAAGAACACAAGAGTGAAGTGACAGCGGGATCAGGGTGTGCACATGTGCAAGCTCAATTGCAGACACGGAAAATTTGCAGCGGCTTGGATGCGAAATTCGGGTTGAAATAACGGAAGGGGCAGGCGAACCTTGACGGTGAAGTCGTGGACGGAGGAGGCGGAGGAGGCGGCGGCGGCCATGCTGCTGAACAGCGAGAACCTGGCGCCGACCGGGCGGAGCAGCGGCGACGAGGCGGCGGCGAAGGCGGGGGCGCGGAGCGTCGGCTGCGCGAAGGGGATGGCGAGGCGCGGGCGGCTGCACGGCAGCGGCGCGGAGGAAGGGGAGACGGCGGCGCTTCTCAGGAGGCGGAAGCGGTGGACGAACGGGGCGGGGCGAGAAGGCATCGGGGATCGGAGACCGGGCTTTATAGCGGAGATCGAGGGTGTGTGGCCGCGTTGGGGAGAGGATGCCTGCTTCGACTTTGCGTTCCGAGTGCCCTGTGACGGAAGTGACGTGCTCCTCGACGTTCGTTCGTCCTGGATGAGGCTCGCCTCTGGCCACGTTCGGCGTCGGGGGTCCGCCACGTGTGAAGGGAATCCGGGACCGGTCGGGTCGACGCTCGGGGCGCTGCCGCCCGATCGGCATCCGACGGATGGTGGATTCACGGTGCGTCTCACGGCCTCGGAACCCCAGGCCAGGTGGAGTAGTTTGTCAAGAAAAAGAGAAAAACTCTGCCGGCAGATACGCGGCGGGTAGCCGCAAACCGTTCGACGCGGAACCTTCGATGCCGTGGTGCAGGTCGAGAGCATGTCGCCGTCTGGTGTGGTGTTTGATCTGAGGCAAACACGCTGAAATGGAAAGAGCATAAACCCGGGCATCTTCGGCATCTTCTTGTCTAGGAGCATCCTTCATCTCTGCGCAGAATACTATGGACCGTTCCCCATTGTGTGCACGGGTTCTCGATTTGGTTAGATGCCCTATCTTTGTTTTTTCATGGTTTATAGAGTAGTACTCCTATATGACTAAGACTTGGATCATCGAACGATTCCGGGATAAAGGCTATCCTCAAAACAGACATATCGGGTCAAATGGCGAGCATCCTGTTTGCCATCAAGGTGCGAAAGATGTTAGATATCTTTTATTCCTATGCGTCCATGCTAAGAAGTTAGAAGAAGATTGGGGATCATGGATCAGATCGACTTGGCCATGCGGTTGATAGGTCGGGTTCTATAATCCTGGAGCACCTACTTTCTTTGTCGGACGAACAACTAGCAATGCATCATTCGGTAACGATGAAAGAAGTGCCAATTATTGAGGTTGGTTCCTGTGGTGGATCAGGCGGCAGTTAACACACAATGAATATGTTCCACTTGGATGGAGATGGACTATTTCGGTGATGGCTGTCGCATGTAATTTTCAGAATAGCATCGCCAAGAGCATCCCAACTACAGAGAAGAGATGGACTAAGCCAACCAAGGTTTGTTAAATTAAATGTGGATGCGACCTTCTTCATGGACGATGGAATGGGTGCTCCTGCAGCTATACTTCAAGATGAAAAAGGTACTTTTATTGCTGCCCAATGCAAATTTATACAATATGTTGTTGATGTGATCACAACTGAAGCAATGAGAGATGGAGTAGAGTTTGCAAATTCCCTTGGATTTAATCGTGTTGAAGCAGAATCAGATTATTCACAAGTAATACAATTTTGTTCCGGGTAGACTCAATGGTGGGAAGAAGCATCAACAATTTTTGCGGGAGTGTGTAGACACAACATGAATGATCGGGAAGGTCATGTTTAGACATTGTTTTCGTTCTACAAATCAAGCGACTCATGTGCTAGCGAATTATAGTTTTTGTAATAAGACCTCCTTTGTTTGGTTAGACGAGTCACCTGACTCTATTGTCAGTGTAGTCATGAACGATGTAACCCTATTCAAGTTTTAATAAAGCTATTCATATTGGTCTTCCCTAAAAAAAGACTTGGATCATCAAACACCATAACATGCAGGAACAGAAGCACACATGCATGCAGCCACTGGATTGCTCTAAAATTCGTAAACTTATTTGGTTTGAAGACATTTGATCACCGTAGGGCAGGATCAATTCATGCATGCTTTTAGTAGTATTTGTCAAGGTTGCATGCGCCATCCACCCTACCCCCTTACATGCCTTTTTAGTTCATCTTCAAATTCGAATCTACTACTCCAGTTTATCTTTTGAACTGGAAGTGTAAATTAAGTTTAATTTGCATATTTGTGTCCGTTGTGACTAAAACTTTTGAAAATGATAATTTTACATAAATTTTGTTTTTTTACAAAGATTTCAAGTTTCAAATATTCAAACTTGATTATTATTATTATTTAGATAAAAGACACACACCCGACTTTATAGATAAAATCAACATGCACCACACAACCGTTCACACAAGCAAACAAATAGCCCATACGGGCAAAGTACATAAACTTAACAGTTTTGCGGCTGCCACAGTAGCAGTGACACAACTTGGCGGCACGCAGGCAAACTACCTACGAGCAAAAAAGGAGAAAAATGCCACCGAGGAGAGCACCAACACATCCCTAGTACGCCGAAGCATGGTCCGTGTGGCAGATGGATAACACCGTGGCCCTAACACGAGCGATCAACAGTTCACTGGCCTCAATGTCGCGCTCCTTAGTCAAGGATTTCCACTGCTGTAACAAAATCAAAAGTTTGAAAAGACAATGCTTGTTAGGAAAATATGCTCAATCGTAAACTTGTTCCTAGTAGTCCATAGAACCCAACAGGTGCGAAAAACCAAACCAAAAGAGACGCCTAATTTCTCCTGATAGGGAGCTAGCAAGAGTGTGTAACTCAACAAAGGGATTTGCGACCCATTAGACATCCAACCACGACCGGATGCAGCACCAGAGCAAGGCCGCTAAATCAAATCTGAAGATAATATGGTGTGAGTCTTCTATGTTACCACATAGCACACAAAATTCAGAACTCGATCCATTCTCTTACAAATCTGGTCTACAGCAGGCAACTTACACCTCATAGCACGCCATATATCCTTGGACTTGCTAGTAGGAGAACTCTAAACCAACTTAGCGTAAAGAGATTTAACCAAAAAGTGACCTGAAGCGGTGTGAGGCCAGGTCACCGAGTCCTTAATCTCCGAGAGCATAGGGAAGACAGTAGCAAGGCCGTGCCAGTTTGCCAACTCTTCAGGAGACAGCACGGCAGAAACCTAGGTCCCAGTTATTACGAGAGAGATCCAAGATGGAAATCCAAGGGAGGCGTAATAAGAAAAAAAACACCAGCTTCGACCTTTCCTGGATGAGATTATTTCTGAAACCCAAAGTGTGTTTACACTACAAAAAAAATACACTTCCGTGATGATACGTGTTTGTCACAGTAGGTCGCGTTTTTTGTCATGCATGTACATCCATGACAAATTTATGACAGAATCAAGATAGTCATACCTGTGTTGTCGTATAAGTGCTCCATGACATTATCAAAATTATCATCACGGAAGTGTCCACTTCCATGACGATAAATCGCGCGTCACAGAAGTGCTTTCGTCAAGGGTGACCGACACGTGGCATCCACCGTAACGGAACGCCGTTAAGCTATCGGGTCGGGTTTTGGATCCGATAACCCGTTAACAGCCCCGACCAATGGGGATTTTCCACGTGTAAAATCATCATTGGCTGGAGGAAACACGTGTCGGCTCACCGTTGTGACAGATGTCATCCACTCATTGGACGGAAGACGCCTATGGTACGTCGACACGTGGCACGGCCCAACAGAGGCCCATTCCTGTGAAAAGGCCGGCCCAGTAAAAATTAGCAGGCCAGCCCATATAAGGTCTACTTGTGTCAGGTCCATTTAAGCCCACGGCCCATACGAGATGAGCCAATTCGGCCCGTCAACGGCCCGTTAAAGATTTGACACCATTGCAGCCCATCGTCAGTTCGAGCCCGTTAACAGCCCGCTATATATCTGGGCTCAATATCGGCCCGATGAGATTTCGGCCTGTTAACGGCTTGTTTAATGGATGGGCCAATTTCAGGATGTACATCTTTCGGCCTGGTTTCCGGCCCGGTTTGTCTTTCAGCATGTTGACGACCCATAAATCTGATGGGCCATTTGTTATCGGACCTGAGTTTCGGCCTTTTAGCGGCCCATTTAAGTGTTGGGCCAATTTTCTAGCCTGGTGCCACTTTCAGCCTGTTGACGGCCCATAAATCAGTTGGGCCATTTTTAGTTGGACCTGAGTTTTGGCCTTTTAGCGACCCATTTAAGTGTTGGGCCAATTCCCGGTCCTGAGTGACTTTTGGCCTGTTAACGGACCATAAATGAGTTGGGCCATTTGTAGTCGGACCTTATTTTTGGCCCTTTAACGGCCCATGCCCTTCATGGT